GCCTTTGGGCTAGTTTTCAAGAAAAGGAACATCGTTTCCAAGTGAGCCTTTGGGCTAGATTTTGAGTAATTATCTCATTTAAAGAAAGATGTGTTTAAAACACTTATGAGCTAAAGTATTTTGGGAGTAGTATCGAGCACCGATTTGGGGACGCGAGTTCATATTACACTCAACTCTCCATAAGAACCATGTAGCCAACATGGGAGTTAACGGGTCATACTTTTTAGATGAACCCGTAAAGTTAAGCTAGTGGATCCACTTAGTAAAGTTAGCTTCCTATGTCACGGCAAGGTATAGGATGGTCCTCGGGCAACGTGAGGTAAAACGTTGTATCACCACTCAGATTCATAGTAGTGGTTTGTCGGTTAGAGAAGCTCCCACAGTAAAAAGAGCTTGGTTCCTCGAGGGTTCTGCTTAGTATGGATTGGGGTATGGGACTTCATTCATACATTGCACAAGTAGACCTTGAGAGGAAGCATGGTATTTTCATGATATTATAAATATGATTTTTTCGTCATGTTTTAAGAGTTTTACAAGCTTTATATATTGCATGTGTCTTATTGCTTTATATATTGAGTTCAGTTATTCATGAGTTGAACAGAGCCAAGGTAAGTGTTCTCTTGTACTCTTTTCAAGCTTAAGTTGTGGTTTAGCTTTCCAGCTCGCATACTCGTACATTCAATGTACTGATGCCAGTTGGCCTGCATCTTATGACGATGCAGACACAGGTACCCCGGATCAGCATCCTGCACGCCGTTGATCCAGCTGAGCACTCTAGAGTCAGTGGTGAGCCTCCTTGCTTCCGGAGGACTCAATTGTTTTATTCTTTTAGTTTTGTGTTATTAGGATGTTGCGGGGTCTGTCCCAACATCCATCTCAGTATGTTAGAGGCTTCATAAACAGACAGTCAGTCAGTTAGTATTGAGTCTCTCATCTATGTATTTATGTAAATATTCTATTTTGAGACTCGAGTTGCCTTTTTGGCTTGATTTCATCAGTTGAGTTATTTTATGTCTTTGCATGGCATTGAGTTATTCTGTTGAGTTAAGTTTCCACTGAGTTAAGAAAGCCATGCCAAGGGTTCGCTTGGGGCCAACAATGGTCTCCGAGTGCCGGTCCCGCCCAGGGTGCAGACTCGGGGCGTGACACATATGAGAGGTTTTGGTTGAATTGTCAGAGGTCCCAAGCTTGGATTGACCTTTTTAGACGTTATGTTGTTCAATGTGACTTTCACAAGTTTCGGATCAGAGAGACCTCATATTCGTGTTTCGATAGTTCCATTGAGTATGGAACATCGAGTTAATCTGGCAATATAACTGGTTTGTATGATGGGATTCCGAACGAATCCTTAGGGCCCTTTCAGAGATTGGAAAATATTTATGTCGGCTAATGATTTCTGGTGCCTATAGACCTTATATTCGCGAATGGTCTTCACTTTCGCGAGGGTTGCGTTAGCAAAGATCGAATCGCGTTCGCAAAGGGTCAAGAGGTCTGATCCTCACTTCCGCGAAGGCCTTCTCGCTTTCGCGACCTTCGCGTAAGCAAAAGCCTGCTCATGAAAGCGAGACGAGACATTTTTTTGGGGTTCGCTTTTGCGAACCAAAGGTCGCGAATGCGATGTTCAGGAAAGTGAACCAGAGTTCACTTTTGCCAGACCTCAGAGCGTTCTTGGTCTGAAATTTTGGGGTTTTCCCCTATTTTTCATTTTTGAGCTTTGAGGACTCAGTTGAGGTGATTTCCAATGGGTTTTCAAGATAAATCATTTGGATAACGAATTTTAACTCCCCTTTACTGTTATTCTTTAATTATGGCAAGATTTTTATCACTTATATCACTATTTTGAACTCAAAACCTTGGGGTTTTTCAGGAATCACTTATATTCCTTTGATTATGTGTAATAAATATTTCAAAATGCTTAACCAAATTTAATTGAGTGGAAAGCAGGAGGATCTCAAGTTTGGAAGAAGTAACTTAAGCTAGGAATTTAATAAAACACCAAATGTGGTGGCAACCACTAAATGGATCTGCTCAATTCTAGTTTGACAATTGGACAGGTATGTGAGTTTTATATGATATCACACCATAAGAAATTCTATGTGATGTATCAATACCGAATGCAAGAGATTTGATAGAGGCTAGTAGATGGAGTGTACAGAGGCTAAACCTGATATTGCCTCAAAAGGTAGCGAAGGACATAGTTAACAGAATACAACCACTCATTAACTCAAAAGATATGGACAAGCATTGGTGGATGCTAAAATCAAATTAGTACTTTTTTGTTAAGTTTGTATCAGAGTATGTAAGGCATAAGGATGAGCCTAATCCAATTTTAGAGAAGTTAGCCTTGGCGGATGCTTGAATCAAATGGGTATCTTTTGTTAAGTTTGCATGGTAGTATATAAGGCATAAGGAGGAGCCTAATCCAATTTTGGAGAAGCTATGGGTAAAAAAACTACCTTTTAAAATTGCTTTCTTTATGTGGAGAGTGTGGAGATCTAAGGTACCAGTGAATGATAA